TTGTTGTTGTTGTTGTTGTAGTTTGACCTCCATCCAGTAGAGTGCGCCGCTGGTCGTCCCAATTTATTTTTTTTGGACGTAATGCGACCTGTATCCGATCTTTTCATGACAGCCGGAACAGCACAGGTAGGATTCTTTTCGAATGCGACCCATATCCGATGCGTATCCGATTCAAATGCGAACGTCCAGGTCGCTTTCATCCGAACTGAATGAACATCACTGATACACAACAAATACCCAACAAATCTCACTCTTCTGCGTCCTGATACGCGCAGGTGGGAAGAGAAACAACCATGACGGACTATATCAGGATTAAGTTGTTAATATGTTGCTCCGGCCGGACAACAACTTCAAATATCTAAGCTATGCGCCACCGTTAGCATCCATGTTTACTTCTGCAAACACTGAGCACTTCTTTTTATAGCGGTTGGCAGAACACTAAGAACGCTGACGAAAACATGACGCCATTTTTTATTTTGGGTGCTGTCTTGAGTTAATGCACTTAACAGAGTAAAGTTTTAACTTTTTTCTGTTTGTTTATTCAGCATTTAGGGTTAGCTGACTCAAAATTTTGTTAAAATTTAATAATCTTTCATTAAAAAATGTTGTCATTTATGTTATGGAGAAAAGAGGCCCAACATGTTTTTTGTAAGAAAATGGCCACTTACAAGTTAATCGTTAGTCAATTGATGAGATCAATCAACAAAATATTAACTTATTAATCGTGAACTTGCACTCCTAAATGGGACTGAAAGTTTCTAAACACAATGGCACTATCTAGTGGTCAGAAATAGTAAAAAATGTAAAACCACCTTCAGAAAGTCAGTCGTCTTCTTCAGATTTCAGATCCTTAATGAAAGCCTTTATTTACACAATATTAGAAATATGTTAAAGATGCAATAAACAAATAGTTCAGTTCTTTTTTCAGGTAATAAACATATAAAGCCTAAGATGCTATATCAGTCCTTTAGTGAACACTTGATCATTTGTAGCAAAGGATCCACCTGCAGCGAAAAACAATTTCTGAAATATGAAAAACTTTTCTGCCTGACCTAACAGCCATACAGTGTAGGGCTAATCTGATCATACTTTTGGTTTAACTGATTAATAATAGGATAGCAAAAGGTGCTTTTTCCAGAATTCAAAATTAAAACTGCCACTAGTTTTAAATTGTATGTTTGTTTGTTTTTAAACTGTAAGAGTTGTTTTTTTATTTTTTAATTGTTGTGTTTTAATGTACAGCACTTTGTGTCAGCTGTGGTTGTTTTAAAGTGTTTTATAAATAAAGTTGGTATGGTATGGTAATAATCGATTCATCATGATTTATTGCTTAATCCCCAACTACCTGGGCAATTTCTTAAAAGTTATTAACAAATGAGTCAAGAAAAAATAGAATTCAATTGATAATTTTAAGTTCATTCCCGTCATGAATCCTGTCAGGACTTTAACTCTGAGCTCAGTGGTGTTTGGGTCACCCAGCAGCGCTTTCAGGGTGTATTGTTGAACCGTTTTGTGTGATCAGTGTATTGTTAGACTCTTGGGATTGTCATTGGGAGGCCGTGGGTGGGTGGGCTTGTATTCTGTGTGCTGACATGGACCTTCTGTGAGCGCATTCAGTTGGATGATGTCAGGGGGAGAACAGTGAAAAACGATAATCTGCCCGAAAAGACCGAAACAAGCAGAGAAAGTCTAACTGAGATGGAACCGAAGAGACCTGGGATTATCGGAGACGGATCACTCTCTAACATGGACTAATCTGGGAAGCGGCCAACATTTCCTTACATTTGGTTTTCCTGCTGTGAAGTGGACCAGGAGGACTGAACATGCAGGAGTCTCCAGGTGTCGCCGGTGTGGACGGCAGCTACGGCAGCAACGTGCCGGCGTTTCTCACCAAACTGTGGACGCTGGTGGAGGATCCGGACACCAACCACCTCATCTGCTGGAGCGCTGTGAGTTCTGCTCAACCAGGGCCGGCCCAAGCATTTTTGGGACCCGGTGCATGTTTTCATTTGGGGCCCCCAATGCCAACATGTCAGGGGCGTCAAACTCGTTTTCACTTTCAGCCACATTAAGATCATGAATGTTCTTAAAGGGCCGGTTGTGCTAGAATGTATGAACAAACCCGATAAACGGTTAGAACTGTCTCTGCATTTGCACTCATGTATGACAGTAAATGTGACTTTTTATTACTGGCAAATAATCAACCACAGACTATAACGTGACATCATGTAAGGCTGAGGCAGAAGTGTAGAAGTTAATTATGTTTTTGACAATTTTTCTGGAAAATTTTCAATGAACTCACAATTGTGCATTAGAACAAAAAAATGACTCAATTTGCTGATGTTGAGTTCATTTCCACAATTGCAGTAAAACTGGGAGCATCGACATTTAATCTGGCAGTAAACAGATAAAAACCTCTTTGATTAATAAAATAATATTTAAGCATACAACTGTTATTTTGAAGGTTGTATTTATGGATACCTTTGGAGTCTAGAGGGCCACATAAAAATCTATGGCGGGCCGGATTTGGCCCCTGGGCCTTGTGTTTGACACATGCAACATGTCAACACCAGCTGCCTCACCAATCCTAAGCTAGTGTGTGTAACACCTGCTGCCATTAGCATCATTTGTAATTAACTTACATCATGCTGGTGCTTTTAAATCCAAGCAGCCGCTTTCAGTTCCACAGTCACAAGCTTGTTTAAGCAATAATCTACAATAAAGCTTAAAATGGTGCTAATGTTTCTTATACAGAGGTTTTGTCATCTCATTATGCATTTTCTTACATTATGGCAAACTTCCTGCTTTCTTAAATCTTTAGTTTTTAGCAAACCTGTTGCTTAGTTCTGATAACTAGACATGCTCAATATTTTTAAAACCAATGAATTACAAAAACTTATTTCTGAATGCAGACAGGTTAGGGTTAGGCAACCCTTCTATAAACAAAATATTAACCAGGTGAGTTGTATGTTTATATGTTTTAGGTCAGACAGTGATGACTCTGAAACATAAAGAATAAAAAGATTTATGCAGTACTTTTCTTTTGCTTTTAATTCCTGAAATGGTTCAATAATCCAACAAACACTTCGGCCCTGACAACTTTCTCTGTCTTACAGACGGGAACGAGTTTCCACGTGTTTGACCAGGGCCGCTTTGCCAAAGAAGTTCTGCCGAAATACTTTAAACACAACAACATGGCGAGCTTCGTTCGACAGCTCAACATGTGTGAGTATAGCCCTCTTGTCTTTTTTTATTTCATGAGCTCGGTGTGTTTACTCCTCCGCTCTGCTGGGTTTCATCAGACGGTTTCCGTAAAGTGGTGAACATCGAGCAGAGCGGCCTGGTGAAGCCTGAAAGAGACGATACGGAGTTCCAGCACCTCTACTTCCTGCAGGGACACGAGCACATGCTGGAGCACATCAAGAGGAAGGTGTGTATGCATACACACAAAACTATCTGGAACTAAACTCTATCAAACATGAAAACTGATCTTCAGGAGAATGTACTTCAAAGCAGCTTTAAATGATTATTAAACTATGCAAGCTTACAAGTTAATGTTTGTAGTTTCTCTGAAACGAGAAGCTTTTGGTGGAAACAAACAATAAACTTTGTTAATACACCATCACTTCAACAGAGTCGCTGGATAAATAAGTTTATATTCTCATTTACCCTCTGAGCCACAGAGGGACAGGAGTTTCTTGCAATTGGAAAATTGTAGGTTGGATTCCAGCTTCGTCCTGTCAGGTGTTAAAGTCTTAGCTCTAAATTGCCAGCTGATCTCTGCATGCTGCAATTTTTTAAAAACTTGCTAGTATTTTTGTCTAGTTTCTTGTGCAAATATCTTAGTACACTTGACTTGAGATGAAACTGGCTTACAGGTAACAAGATATAGCAGCTTGTTTTGGGTCAGTGATTCCTTAGTATTTTTGAAAAAGTACCAAGTCCACAGGTAGATTATTTCACTTCCAACATGGAATCTGCCAGTGGAACAAATACATTTTAATCAATATTAAGAAATCATCTACCTAAAACAAGCTCCTATTTAATGCTAAAAAGTTACTTTTAGGTTAGTTGTACTTTAATTAAAGTGCACTAAGATAGTGGGACAAGAAACTAGACCAAAAATACTTGGTAGATTTTGTGTTTGTGAGTGTGACTCCAGTGTGAAGCTCTTTAAATGGTGAGCTGATGGAAAACTGCTTTAGGTTCAGTCAGATTAACTCAAAGTGGTTACAAGTTTTAGGTATAATAGTGGTAAAACAATTAATGTTAAATCAAAAAGTTTAAAGCCACACAGAAAACCTAATAAGTATAATGTTCCAAATAAAATTCCATTTAGAAAAACTTCATGTTGCACAACTCAATAATAAAAGCAAATTATTAAAATATACAAAACAGCTCAGTTCAAACTTCTTCAGTTCTGTCTGAATGGTGAGATTTTGATTTAAATCAAACTGTTTAAACTGATGGCTTAGATAATTTGTCAATATTTTTACATAATTTACTTCAGTGAAGAAATCTTGCTGAGTTTCTAAGAATAGTCTGAGGTCAAAGGTTAAGGAAGTTCTGAAAAGTAATTTTATGCCAGATAGTTTCAGATAAAAAAAACACAATTTTAATCTGTAGTTAAAATTATAACCATTTTTTTCCTTTTATAAGTACCTAAAGTGTGTGGTGTAATGTTTTTCTTGTTTTTTTACTTATTCTATCATTTTTTGCAACAAATTGATGTGGTCAGTTAAAGAGAGAGAAAATATCTACGTTAAAAAACAGATTTTTATCGAGGGTTTTTCGTGAAAGTCTAATATTTGTTCTTAACCTTGATACTTTAAAAATATTACTGAGAATTTACTCCATAATGCTATTACTTAACACCAAATTTCACAAATAATAGAGTTTGGAATATAAATATGATGAGATAAAATCGGAGTTCAACAAATTATTTTATATTTGTTTTAGCCACCATATAAATCTGTTCAAACATCAAGATAGTTTTTTTTAGCTCTTGATGTTTTTGTCCAGGTTTCCATCGTGAAAAGCGAGGAGACCAAAGTCCGGCAGGAGGACCTGAGCAAGCTGCTGTACGAAGTTCAGCTTCTGAGGACGCAGCAGGACAACATGGAGTGTCAGATGCAGGACATGAAGCAGTGAGTGAAGAACACACTCTGCTTTTTAAATACTGTTACACCTGATCTTACCCAACACCCCACTGCAAATTAGATTTATTCAAAAATACACAAACTAGCTGCTGTCAGTGATAGACTAGGTTAAATACAACTGATGTTTAATTTTTTCTTGAAACTAAATATAAAATTAAATTTTTGCTTCGCTGCAGTCTCTTATTTAATTATTCATCATGACTAGCATGTTCAGATCTTAGCAGAGCTTTCTCTTCCTGTTTTAACCTGCTGGTAGCATGATTTACAGCCAGACATAACTTCTACCTTCTCTCCTCATTTATATTATTGGGTTTACAGGCAGCCATCTTTTTCAAATCCCACCAGAGATTTTCAAAATAATTCAGACTTTATCTGCATTTCCATTGATCACATAATCGAGCAATTTGACATTTTGAAAATAAACCTGCCTAATCAAAACATGTCCTCAAAGCAGAGGAACTGAAACAGCATCAGAGCACCACGGAGCCACTACCATGCCTTACTGTAGGTGTTGTATTCTGTGATGCTTCGTTTTTCTTTTTTCAGAAACATTGCAAGAATCAGCAAGTTTCAGTTTTGGCTCAAAACAGAATCCTAACTTTTTTAATGTCTGTGATCAAACTAGGTCTAAATTTTATTGTGGTTTTCAGTCAGAGGAGATGGACGTCTTGCAGTTTAGGTCTGAGTCTTAGTGGCTGCTGCCACGCTCCTTTTTTCAGCCTCAACTGTTTTTTGCAGCCGCATATGATCTCCCAGTACTTTTTTATCAATATGAAGGAGTTATTCACTTGAAACAAGCTTATATGTATTGCTTAAAAGTTAATCAATCAAATTTTATTTGTATAACACCTTTCAACAACAAGGCATTTCAAAGTGCTTTACATCATAAAAGCACAAAAATACAAAGTCATAGAAACACAGACAACAACAATACATTTTGCACATCAGATTATTGTATTGATTCATGATTAGGTTTCAAAAGTAACTCTAAACAGGTGAGTTTTAAGTCTAGGCACTCAGTGTTTCAGCTGTTTTGCAGTTTTCTGGAAGTTTGTTCCAGATTTGTCGTGCATAGAAGCTGAATGCTGCTTCTCCTCGTTTGGTTCTGGTTCTGGGGATGCAGAGCAGAACCAGAACCAGAAGATCTGAGGGGTCTAGACGGTTGGTACAGCAATAACAGATCTTTAATGTATTGTGGTGCTAAACCGTTCAGTGATTTATAAACTAACAGTATTTTAAAGTCTATTCTTTGAGCTACAGGGAGCCTGTGTTGGGACTTTAAAACTGGTGTTATGTGCTCTATCTTCCTGGTTTTAGTGAGAACAGCAGCAGCAGCTTCTGGATCAGCTGCAGCTATTTGATTGATTTATTAGTCAGACCTGTGAAGACGCTGCTGCAGTAATCAATGAGGTTAAAGATAAACGCATGGATGAGTTTCTCTAGATCGTGCTGAGACATCAGTCCTCTAATCCTGGAGATGTTCTTCACGTGATAGAAGGCCGACTTTGTGACTGTCTTAATGTGGCTCTGAAGGTTCAGGTCAGAGGTCATCACTACTCCCAGGTTTCGGGCTGATCGCTGGTTTTCAGTTGTAATAACTGAAGCTGCGCATTGACTCTAGTTCGCCCCTCTTTAGGTCCAAAGATAATAACTTCAGTTTTGTTTCTGTTCAGCCGGAGAAAGTTTTGGCCCATCCACACATTTATCTGTTCTAAGCATCTATTCAGTGATTGGATGGGTTCAGAGTCACCTGGTGACATTGTGATGTAGAGCTGTGCATCATCCGCGTAGTTATGGTAACTAATCTTATTTCCTGTTATAACCTGAGCCAGTGGGAGCATATAAATATTGAAAAGAAGGGGTCCTAGGATTAAACCTTGGGGTACCCCACATGTGACCTGTGACCTCTCTGATGAGAAGTTTCCAATTGAAACAAAGAAATCCCTGTTCTTTATATAAGATTCAAACCAGTGGAGCACTGGACCGGAGAGTCCGACCC